GCAGTCTGTCCTCAGCTCCCCCTCCGGCCTTACAGTGGGTGGGTCTCCCAGGCTCCATGCTAGATCTTCTGAGCTCCTTCCCAGCCCGGCAGCGCTGCGGCCCGGGCCTGCGAGGGGCTGCTCTCTCCCACGCCTCCTGCTCCCCCACTGAGTGGCTCTTCTGTCTCAAGCTCAGCATCATTTCTGCTGCGCCTTCCACCTGACGAATAACAGGTCACCACCCGCCACCCACGGCACTTTCTATTCAGAGTGTAATGCCCTTGTGAGCCCTTTTTAGCGCTGCCAACCGCCCCTTTGGGGCTCCTTAGGTGACAGGATTGTTAGGGTTGGTCTCAGCCAGCTCCCCCAAACCCTTTAACCCCTAGGCTAGTTGAAGTAAAATGCTGCATTTGACAATAAGCCAAACAAGGTCTGTCCGAAAGAAGACCTGTCATCTTCCCAGGAGGCAGAGGGTAGGAGCTCCCAGCCAGGGGCAGGCGTTGGCAGGTGGGCTCTGGCTATTTTAGGACAGCAACAGGGTTGTGAGGAAGAGGCAGGCAGACAAGAAGGAGGAAGGGGAAGGAAATTCTGGAAAGGAAGGGGATCGCTTTTGGCTCCTGCTTTTGCCCTGGAATCCCTAGGAGAGGGACCCAAGCTAGGGCTGCGGTTGGTAGCTGAGCGAGTTCTTAGAGCGCTACTGGGAATGCAGAATGACAAGTCGCAGTCAGGAGATAATGCTTCTCGATGAATGATAGAGGATTGCCGAAGAGGCGAAACGGTAGAATCGCTGACTGCACGCCGGAAGGGCACTTGTCACGCCCGGCTCTGACGGCGTGGGGACCCGGCTCTGCGCGCGCCGTTCTCCCGCCGTACGGGCCAGCAGCGCCATCTAGTGGGGCTGGGAGCGAACTGTCGCGGCCCGGAACACGCAAGGACCGAGGCGTCTTTCACACCAAGAACTGTAATTACTCCATTAGCATGTGTTCAATTAACTTATTCCACATTAGGATAAAACTTTAATGATAAAAGCTCCTCTCCGTGGTTATAATGCTTTTCACTTAAACTGTTGGGAGGGCCGAAAGGAGGAAGCGTCATCTGTCGCTCTAGGGGCGTTTCTCCAGTCAGCACAGGCGGGTGCCCAGGAGCCACAGGGGCGCGACCCTCCCCTCCCGGGACGCAGGGCGGGAAGCTCATCCGAGCTGGTGTCCGCTCTCATGCCCTCGAGAGTCTGCTCCGCACAACGCTCATTCTAAGAAATTATACAGAGNGAGGAGGGAGAGGGGAGAGGGAGGAGGGAGGGGGGTTTCGGTAATGGGCCACAATAATCAATCTCACTGTATATCGACAAAATAAAATTTAAATAAATAAATAAATAAAGTCCAGAATAGAAGAATTTTTTTAAAATAAATAAATAAAAAATAAATAAATACATTTCTTCCAGGCTTTTTCTCATCCAATGGAATAGGTTGGACATCCCTGCTGTTGCTCATTACTCTCATCACCCTTTGCCATAATTACTTGTTTAATTCTCCCCTTCCCATCTAGCCTGTAAGCTCCATGAAGGCAGAAACACTGTCTGCCTTGTTCCTGCATGTATTCTCCATAAAATAAATAATAAATAAAAATAAAAATAAAAATAAAAAAATAAATACACACACACACACACACAACCGGGGGGGGAGAGGGGAGAAGACATAACAAGTACAGTTCCTTGAAGTTGATATGACAAGTATACAGAAAGGACATTGTTGCGGGGGGAGGGGGGAGAGGGAGGGGGCAGGGAGGTTTCTGTAATTGGCCACAATAATCAACCACATTGTATATCGACAAAATAAAATAAAGTAAAATAAAAAAAGATAGATGTCTAATAATCATATTAAACAACATATCCAAACAGAATTCTAGCTGCTCCCTCCTAAACCTACTCCTCCTGGAGTGATTCCTATTTAGTTTAATGAAACTCCATCCTTCCAGCTTCTCAAGCAAAAACTCTGAAGTTATCCTTGATAACTCTCCGTTAAATCCCACATCTGATCCTTTAGCGTATTCTGTTGGCTTTATCTTGTAAATATATCCAGAATTTGATGACTACTTATCATATCTTCTGCTACCATTATTATCATATCTTCTGCTACCACTGGTGATGGTCCCAGTCACCATCATCGCTTCCTGGATTATTTCAATGGCTTTTAAAATTAGCTTCCTGCTTTTACCATGATCAACTTACAATTTATTCTCAACACCAGAGGAAGAATGATGAAGTTAAAAGTCAGATCATAATAATACTCTAGTCAAAACCCTGTGGTGGCTTTTTGTCTGTCAGCAAAGTCCTAAAGAACTTCATTTTCTACAACTCTTCCCTTCCCTTTCCTTTGCCTGCTCCAGCCATAGGGGCTATAGCCACATTAGCCTCTTTAAGGAAGAGAAAACATGCCAGGCCTGCTCCTGCTTCTTGGTCTCTATAGTTGCTATTTTGTCAGCCTAGAATATTCTTCTCCAAAATATCCACATGGCTCACTACTTCACTTTCTTTATTCAAATGTCATCCTTTCATTGAGGCCACCTAACACAAAAACTGAACAGCACACTTGCTATATTTTCCCTTCCCTGTTTTCCATTTTTCCTAAGCACTTAGTGTTATTTGACATAGTAAATATTTTACTTTTTCATATTGTTTATTACCTCTCATAGTAATATGTAAGCTTTATTTATACCTTTGGGATTTCTTTATTCTGTTGTTCATTGCTGAATCCCCAGCAATGAAGAACAGTGTCCAGCACGGTAGGTGTTCAATAAATATTTGTTGAATAAATCCACCATTGTATTCTTTATTACCTCTCATAGTAATATGTAAGCTTTATTTATACCTTTGGGATTTCTTTATTCTGTCGTTCATTGCTGAATCCCCAGCAATGAAGAACAGTGTCCAGCACGGTAGGTGTTCAATAAATATTTGTTGAATAAATCCACCATTGTATTATAGTGCCTTGTGTAGATGATAAGCATAGAATGCTTGGAAAATGTTTATTAAAAAGAATGAATACCAAGAAAATGGTGCTTTTCTTTAAAAACATACCAAAACAAGATCAAATCTAACGTGCCACTAGGTACTGGAGGACTAAACCAGTCAAACCATAAAAAACTTAGAAAATGCAAGATATCCTTACCTAGACCAGCTCTTGCCTCTTTTTTCTTCTGAGAGGCCCAACCCACTATCGAAAGTTTATCTCCTCCTGGTTTCTCCTCTAAGCCTCTATTCAAGCGCCAGATTTTTAGTGTATTGTCATCAGAGCAGGTAGCAATCTAAGGAGAATCAGTAAGGGAGTTAAGAAGTTTCAAGCAAAGATTCACAACAAAGTAAAAAATAGATCTGTCTTAAGGGTTCATGACTGGAGAATTATTTTGTCTGATATAACAGGATACAGAAAATAATATCTGGAAGATCATATACTTCCATTCCTTGCTTTCAGGAATCATTCCAGATTTCCAAAGAAGCTGTCCCTGTAGTTTCTTCTTTATATACATTCTGATGATAATTCTTTCCTTACCAGTCATTTTTTACCTAACCTAAAGCTCTGCTGTAACACCAGGCTCATTTTATTTTGTTGTCTCAAGAAACTGGGCAAGTCAATAACTTTATCACTTTCTATATAACTACAAAATATGTAATTAAGATACCTTTTTTACTCTTTATGTTCAATGATCAGTCAGTGTATGTCACCAACATTCAATTCCTATGACTTCCTTCTGGATTTGCATGTTCTGCCCTATTGCTAAAAGATCAGACTTAGTAGTAGGCTGTGACAAGTAGAATAAAACTATTCCTTTGAGGTTCTTTTTCAGATAGGTAAAGGAGCAATCTGGGAAAACAACAAGTTCACCAGGCCAAAATAAGTTAAAAATAACCTTTGCCCCTTTAAAAATATCTGACCATTCCTGATCTTGGTCCCAAGCCTTTTATGGCAGAGAAAGTCCAGCTTGAAGAGCTTGTGGCAAATGGCCACCGGTACCAAAGCTGTTCCCCAGCATTTGTTTATATAATTTCTCTATTTCAGTCACTAAAGAGAGAGGAAAAAAGAATACACGTTCTCTCAAGTCTTGGCCCCCAAGGGACTGACAGTTTTTTCCTTTCCTTACTGGGAGGCCAAAAGAAGATACACATATTTTAACTGCTCGACAAGAAATGCTTGGAATCCCACAGTCACTGTATAGTCTATTAACAATAGTTATTATTTACAGAGCACCTACTGTGTGTATGGTAATTTACATTCTTCACCATATTTAATTCTCACAATATAAAAAGCCTTGTACTCAAATAATCTTACCTCCAAAATGGGAATAAAGTTATCTGCCCAAAGTCACCACAATTAAATGGCAGAGCTAGAATTTAAACCCAGGTCTCTCCTATTCCAAAAGTTAGACTTTTTAAAAACAACAAAAACCCACATTCTAACTCCCCATTTCTCAGCATGGGACAAAATTATTTTAAAGAGACTTTTTAAAAGGTGGACACTACATTAATATAGTAAACAGTCCTGCCATTTTCTTTGAGTCTTTTTTCACAGGAAATAAGAATAATATATGATGGTTGAGATACACAGATATTTCACTGGAAATTACATGCAATCTCAGAGGAAAAAAATGTCATTAGGATATAATTATGGGCGATTAAAGTAATGATTAAAAAAGAAAAAAGTCTTCCATGAAGCTGACCACAAAAATGTTAACAGGAATATTAAAATAAAGAGAATTCCACAGCAGTACTAGAAAACTATCAGGGATGCTACAATACACCAGACCATGAGAAGTTTCTGAAAGATAAAAAACGGATAGGAATAACAAGCAACAAAATCTCAAAACGTCACACAGTATGCAAGAATGGAGACCTCCACAGAAGTGAGATTTCCTGTAGAACCCAGAATAACCCAAAGACCAGAGGTGATGGAGGTTAGGAAAATGAGTGGAATTTGGACTATTATAAGAAATTTCTATATAAACATGGAGTTTATGTTTCTACCTTTTAGGTTTTTCTGTTTCTTTAAGTATCACGTAGTATATTCACTGTAAGAAAAAAATTTAAAGGCGGGCATATTTCTTCTTTCCAGGGGGTCTAAAACATTTCAGACCTACTTCTTATGTGGTTTAGCCATAGATAATCTAACATATTACGACTTTACAGTAACAATTTTGTTAGTCATATGTGAAAACCCAAATTGGACTGTGAAGAACAGTCAAGATGTTACTTTTCATACACCCATTGATAATATGAAGAAAGTGAAAAAGACTAGTTCTCACTGTAGATTTTCTCACATTTGATTCTTTAAAAGGTTTTAATTAAGTTAAAAACTCAATTCTATATTTAGCAAAGAAATAACTCTAGGGAACCAGAAATTGACCCTTATTCCTTATTGTGTAATACAGTTTCTCTACTGAGAGAGAAAAACAGAATGTGTGAGTAATGCTGACAGCCTCTAGATCTTTTAAATCCCTATTTAAACATTAAAGTCCCTAAAGTCCCCACCACTCTCAAACAAACCTTGGGAAAACCTATAAACCTGTGATTTACTTTTTAAACCAACCAGAGATTTGTTTACAAACCTTTGTGAAGTCGGATGGACACCAGCACACAGAAGTGACCTCTTGAGAATGACCCAGGAGCACAGTAGGAGGATGCCAGGGTGTGGAGACCTAGTCCAATCAAAAAGAAACACACAAGTCAGCAGAGCAGTGTTGTTTCCCAGATAGAGCCTTTGAATCTCCATAACTGTGCCTTAGAGCTTTAGGGTTGTTACGAAAGGCCCCTAGGCCTGCCTTGTTCTATTTCAGAAAAAAAGAGTTCCAATGGGCAATGAAGTATTTCTGTCACTGATCTGAGAAAACACAATGAAAATAGCCAAAATAAATAAATAATATGAGCTTAGAAACCAAGACAGTTCTTTTTTCAAATCAGGACTACCTAGCTATACATATTTTGGCTAAATTTCAAGACCAGCATTGTCTCTCACCCCTTAGCTGGTAAATTTTCTGGAAAGATGAAGTTTAGTTGCTAGGTAGTGCAATTTAAGTGGACAACTTAGTTCTGTTTTTACATTTTTTCAAATCAGGACTACCTAGCTATACATATTTTGGCTAAATTTCAAGACCAGCATTGTCCCTCACCCCTTAGCTGGTAAATTTTCTGGAAAGATGAAGTTTAGTTGCTAGGTAGTGCAATTTAAGTGGACAACTTAGTTCTGTTTTTACATAGCCTAGACATTTTCATATCTTCTCTAGTCAGCTATTTCCAGGAACACTAAATTAACTGAATCCTAAAGGAACCTGAAACATGCTACCAGCTCTCCTCGGACAAGAGGAGATAATCTTCCTTCCAAAAGAAGACTCTCTGACTTTTACCAAAATCCAAAGTATATTATACTCATTTTGAGTTAGGTAACCTTCATTTTAAAGGGGTAAAAGCTGTATTTTACATGGCACTTTGGTATCCTTTGAGAAAAAAATTTTTTCTTCCAAAATTTTATTTCAGTTAATTGGCTTTAATAAATTTTGAATTTAAATGTCTTACCACATTTTAACATTTTAGTGCATAAAAAAGGGTCATGTTGTGTTGTACTGCACATGACTAAAGAATCATATTTTCCCATCATTAGATAACACCAGTGATATGCATTTGACAGCATCGTACAACTGATTCATTCAAGAGAAGTCAATCCCTTTCATGGGCCATAAGAATTAATCAGCACAATAAGGAGTACAAACTCACATAACTATTATTAGCACATAGGTTTGAAAAGAGCAAAGAGGCTGGGGCTGAGAGAAGTTATTCTCTTTTCATTTTCCTGATGCTCTGAATCATGGCTCATTTGTATGAAGAAAGTGGAGGTGTCTCTGGAAAGAATATTTGTGAGAATGACTAAACTTAATAGATTCCTCAGATTATAGTTAAGAGATGTGACACACTGATTCATAAGGTTATCCAACTCAATTATTACTATTCTCTTGGGTTAAATGGCACATATGCAACGATTCAAAAAGCAAAAGAAGACAGAGAAGAATCTAATTTGCCTTACTGAGTTAAAGTTTAATGGAAAAGGAAGCTTTTTCTTTATCTTCAAGGATCTCACTTACTGCCTACTTCTGCAATGCCAAAGAGACAATAATTTATTCCTTCACAAGGTAATATATTTTTGAAAAGACTTTTCAGATATTCTCTATTTTAGTAGTCACAAAAATTCTCCTTCCTCCTCAATTTGGGATGGCCTCAGTCCACTAAGTTTTTCTCTACCCAAGGCCCAAATATGTCTGGTAGCATAGCAACAAGTTAAAGGGAGAGGAAATCCTCATGTCCTTTTGAGCATCCCTGGTAGGAACACATTATTCTCCTCCATTGGTTTACCCTGCTTATTGCCACTAGCTCTTTATTTCATGACACTGCCCCTTCCTCAGTTTTTGTATTATAATACCTAAGAGAACCTAAATATGTATGCAAAGGATTAAAATAATTTTCAAGAAAAACCAAATACCCACCAATAGAATATATATACATTTTTGCATTTATCTACAGGATCTCAGAGAAAAAAGAAGAGACCCATTGGAAAAACTTTTTACCATTTGATAATAAGGACATAACAATAATGACAATAAAAGTCAGCATTTAAAAATGAATACCATAAGCCTGACACTTTACATAGCATTAAAAGTGTGGGGGGGGGAGTTTCCTCAAAAAGTTAAACACAGAGTTAAGTATCACACAACGCAGCAATTCTACTCTTAAGTATATACCTCAGGAGAATTGAAAACATATGTTCAAACAAAAACTTATATACAAATTTTCATAGCAGCTTTATTCATAAATTCAAGAAGTAGAAACAACTCAAATGTCCATCAACTGATGAATGGATAAACAAAATGTGTTCTATCCATACAATGGAATATTATACAACTATAAAAGGAAGGAAGTACTGATACATGCCACAACATGGATGAACCTTGATAACATTATGCCAAGTGAGAAGGAAAAAAGGGAAAGCAAAAAGAAAGCAAAATAAGAAGACCAAATTTGACATTCAGAATTTAAAATGTAAGAAGCATTATGCTATTGATACTCATTATTAAAGTTTAAAGCGCAAGTAAGAAGAATTTTATAGAGAGGAAGGTTAAGTAAAAACTCTTATCACAAGATGAGATCTCAAGTATGTACTTTATACTTGAAACAAAAACAAATTTTCATTTAAAAATACAACAAATAAAAGAAATGTGTATGGGGAAAGAGGCAGGACCAACATAAAACACATTGAGTAGAACAATATCTCCACCTTGTGATCTTTTAGGATATCATTACTAAAACTTTTGCATAAGGTAGTGTTGCATTTTTGCAACTCTAGGTACATAGAAATCACTTTTTCATACCTCCCCCAGGACTGGATGAAATTAAGCTGAAGAATTACACTTCATCTGTTTTGTTGTACCTATTAGCTTTTTAGCATAGAAAAAAATTCCAACACTCATTTAAGTTCATTTAAATTCAGACCTCTTGAACACACAGCAGAGTTATAAGACAACCTAACAGCCTGGATACTCAGCTTGCATGAAATCTCTTTTAAACTACCCCTCCACCCTCCTTTATCACAGAAAAGAGAAACTGAGCCACCTCACTAGGCATTTTCAATCTTAGGAGCAGCAAGTTTGCCAGGATCTCAAGTATCAGAGCCTGTACACTGAGTTACGTGTGGACAGGCAGGAGAACATCACGTCAGAACCACGTCATTCAGCACTGACATGTGACCCAGCCTAGGAATTCAGAAAGGGTCATCCATGCATGTAGTGGCCACTGTCTGGATGACTGAAAATGGGTTACAAAGAATAGCCAAGTATCTTTAGTGTGTGTATTTAAAAGGAGAATGTATCCCTTCAATCTTCATTCCTCAAAACAAAATTTTAAAAAGGCCTTTGTACTAAAGAGGGCTAGAAGAACTTAAAGAATTTGCAAGAAAACTACATACAGAGTATAAACCTATGCGTATATAGAAAACTATACACACACAACATATAATTATAAACATAGTTATGTATACGTATAGCAATGAAAAACTGATCAAAAATGATTTTAAAATTATCAGTACATAAGTATTTTTTGCATAATCTTTTATTACGCTTTCTGGTATGTCTAAAATTTAAGTTTTTTTTTTTTTTTTTTAAGAAAAAAGAAACTTAAAAAGATACAGACTTATGGTAGGGATAAAATACTTTACTTAAATTGGGAGCCAAAGTGGAGAAAGGAATGTAGGGAAGACAGTGAGAAGGAAAAAAGGGAAAGCAAAAAGAAAGCAAAATAAGAAGACCAAATTTGACATTCAGAATTTAAAATGTAAGAAGCATTATGCTATTGATACTCATTATTAAAGTTTAAAGCGCAAGTAAGAAGAATTTTATAGAGAGGAAGGTTAAGTAAAAACTCTTATCACAAGATGAGATCTCAAGTATGTACTTTATACTTGAAACAAAAACAAATTTTCATTTAAAAATACAACAAATAAAAGAAATGTGTATGGGGAAAGAGGCAGGACCAACATAAAACACATTGAGTAGAACAATATCTCCACCTTGTGATCTTTTAGGATATCATTACTAAAACTTTTGCATAAGGTAGTGTTGCATTTTTGCAACTCTAGGTACATAGAAATCACTTTTTCATACCTCCCCCAGGACTGGATGAAATTAAGCTGAAGAATTACACTTCATACTGAACAGGCTCCACCACTGTCCTAAGACAATATTAATGATATGACTTCTTACAGGTTGGCAGGACTAAGAATGATATAACTTTCTCTTGACAGGGGATTTGAAACTACGGATCCATGAAGTTTTAGACATTATGACTCTAAAGCCCAAAATATGTGACCTTTGATTATTCAATTCACCAATGTCAAAGACATGTATGAAATTACAGGGAAATCTAGCAGATAACAAATTTTTAGCCCCAGGTAAACAATACCTTAATCATTTTCTTTCTCTAAATTCTCAGAACATTTTCGTAATTAATTATTCTCTAGAGACATTTTTCGGTAGTCACAAGTGCTAATTGTGGTGTAACAAACATTTCAATTTTCTCCATTGAATTTCAAATGAATAGCTTTAAATTTCTTAGCTCACAGTAGTCACTTTAGACTTACTGTTATTTAAAAAGATTATAAAATTGCTTAACAGATAGCAATGGGAAATCTGTAAAATAAAAAAAAAAAAAATGAATAGCTTTAAATTTCTTAGCTCACAGTAGTCACTTTAGACTTACTGTTATTTAAAAGATTATAAAATTGCTTAACAGATAGCAATGGGAAATCTGTAAAATAAAAAAAAAAATAAATGCTATTAAATACATTTAAAGAATGATAAAACAACTACATCTATGTATTTTAGTAGCCTGAAGATTGGCTACTTGTAAGAAGAGAGAATAAAGAATACAATTATGATACAAATATTTCTGAGTGACTGTTTTGCACAAAACTTTATGGGTGACTAGAGCACAGGATCCTAGGGATCAAGATACTATATTGTGAACAAGAGTAAAATACACAGGGCAGTAAGGCAGTACATCATGTTTTCCAGAAAGGAGGACAAAGTAGTTAAGATTCTTACCACCATTCTGACCTCTCAATTTCCTGATAATCTGTGCAACAGAGGATACAGATTGTCAATTTCTGACAAGCTATGGCCATAAAAGTGTCATATATTCTGTGACAGAGCACGCTTTTGATTAAATTAAGAGCTAAGAAGCAACCTTTACTAAATATCTGATGTAGTAAAAGTTAATATTTTTTTCATTAAACTTACCTCATATTGGACAGAAGAAATAGTTGCAAGAATATTTCAGTTCACATTTGTGGGGGAAGTTTGGCAACTTACTTTCCAGATGTACGCTGCTTCATCACTTGAGCCGCTGACTAAAAACTGGTCATCTGGACTAAGACTGGATTTTACATAAAAGGTAGAGTTTTGGTGTCCATTGAAGATAGCCACTGCCAGAGGAAAAAAACAAATTACTTGTTTCTTATTATTTCCAGTGTTCAGATGAAAGCGGACAACATACATATTCTATCAAGTTTTATCACTGTATTCATTATTGAAACAGATGGTCAAGCTTTATTTGCTCAATAAAAGGGAATCCTAGAAAGAGGCTTTATGTTAGATCCAATCTCATGAACTCAACCTAAATACTTGGTAGGGTGTCAGCCAAATATTAACTTTTACTACTACATCAGATATTTAGTAAAGATTGCTTCTTTGCTCTTAATATAATCAAAATCTCACTCTGTCACAGAATACATGACACTTTTATGGCCATAGCTTGTCAGGTGTCGGCCATACCAAGTGAGAAAAATATGGTGAAAAATATTCTCAAAAGAAAAGAGTGCAGTCAATGTCCAATCTTGTAGTAAAATGCCTTTATTAGACTCTTTCTCCACCTCAGGATAGGGCTTTTTAAATTGCATAATACATTGGTATTACTTCCCCTTAGACTTCAAAGCCTGAGGATAAATTTCATGTCTTATTTTTTCCTCACTAGACCTTATAGTGTTTTGAACAGAGCAGATCCTCAGACACTTGTCCCATGAATAGGTAAAAATCAGTGAAATGAATTATTCAGATTCTGGTTAAGACTTACTGATATCTTATCTGGGATGTGGGAATATTTTTAATCAGTACTTTAAATAGGCTGAATGGTAGAAGTAGCTAGTGGGGTAAACTATATGTTCATTTGCAAGACATTAGGTTAGCTTTAGCTTTCAGGTTTAGACTTCTTACTCTCCAAAGCAAAGAGGAAGTAACCTAATCTAGCACAATGTGCTGTTGACAGGTTCTCCTATCTTCACGCCAAAACCTGAAGCCTCTGTCATCAGAACACTACGAAGAAGTATAAATCTCAGTTATTGGAGAATTTAAGGATACATTTAGGCAGGAAAAAAATAATCACACTCCAACTTTTAACAGAGGGAGAAAAGTATTAGTAAGGGACTTAAAAGCGTTCCATAAGTGCTCCCAGAAATTCCTTTTTCTAGAATGAAACTGGAAAATAACTTTGTATTTATAGCTTCTAAAGAAAAAAACCTATGTATCAAACACTCCCCATATTAGACACTTTTACTGTGAAAGTGAAGCTGGATATGAATCAATTCAAGTACACATATTATAAACCTGCTATGATAAATAAATCCCCACAAAATAAACAGGTTCCTCTATTCTGAAAACTGCTCTAAAACTGTAATTGTTCATCTTCCTTAACTCTAAACTATTAATGGAAATCTATAAACAGAATTTCTCATTATACCTATAAGTATTTATTGCCCTCTGCTGGTTTAAGAAAGTCTGGTATGAAATACATTGTAAGTTTTCCAAAACTTGCTAAAAATCCTTCTAAAACATATACTGGTGTTAATTAGCTCAATTTAGTCTGTCTTTGATGATCTGAGCTCTTAAAGTACTTCAGAGTCAACCTTATGAATATTACTTTGCATAATATAATAATGTGAATAAAAAGTATGGGAGATGAAGTACTGAGTACAGGAACCTTTCTGATGTTTTGAAAAAGACAAGTAATTACCAGATGTTACACACATACACACTTGGCTGTCATTCAGTTTCTAAGGAACAAATCATTCAAGCAATCAATCAATGTACTATCTATCTATGAGAGTAAATCACATCATTTTAGGAGTACAGAAAAAGGTTACTAAGTTATCAGCAAAGTGTTTGATGGCAGAGGGACAAACTAAACTCAAGGCCTCTTTTGTGCATACTATAGCAACAATTATATCAAAAGACTTCTTGCACATCTAGTAATATAATCAGAACTGGACTCTGTCTTTTGGGGAAAGACTTTGAAGTCTCTTTATATGGCTAACTAAATCAAGCAGTTTTCCAAATTCTGATTCTACTAAGAAAAACAGCAGAAGTTATAAACCTCTTCTCTTTTCCAAATACTCTTGCTCTTGCTTTAGAAAACGTGAGACCTAATAGAAGGCATTGGAATGCCAAATATGATGTTGCCACAGATATCAAAGTTCTAATAAGATTGTCTGAGACAATCTTTGGAAACTTTTATAAGATCCCAGCTAAAATGAGCTAGCTTTTATACCACATGGGTACTTCAACAAGTTCATGGAAAAATGGAATAAACAGATTATACAAATCTTTCCATGAACTTTTCAAAGACCCTTCCTCTCCTTCGTATTTTGAGATTTCTTTATCAGCACATCTTACTTTAGTGGAAACTGGGTAGCTCTGGGACTGGTTATGGAATTCAGCATTCAGTGTTTTTGACAGAGCTATATTTGAGAAAGCAGGCTACTAATATGTTCCTTGCTTAAGTAATTGATAATGTTCCTAAAAATAATGTAACCTAAATAACTCTCTTAATGCATGCTTGAGAAACTTAGGGTTCTTTTTAAAAATATAATTTATTTATTAGTTTTTAAAGTATCAGATTCTGTTTTTACATTCTTTAGGGAAAAATGAGTGAGGTTGGAGAAAACACCTCAACAGATAAAATGGCCTCTGTCCAACATTAAGGAGAAGGCTGAGGGAAGATGGAAATATTTTAGAGGGTCTGAAAATATTCAGCCCCCTAATTTTAATAGACCTCAAGGATGACAAAAGCTGAGCAGAACAGCTTTCTCTACCCCACAGCTTATTAAATCAAAAATTGAGATAATTCTAAATATAGGCCAAGGGGCACAATTTTAGGACTCACTATTAAAATAAAGTCACAATAAAGAATAGGATTATTTACTTATGAAAATCATCACAAGGAAAGTATACTATGAAAACACCACTAGAACTAATCTAAGGTACCAAAGTCCTCATATGGCTTAACAAACTTTATTTAGGAGAAAAACATTAAGTTATCATTAACAAAAAAGCCCATATTAGTTTCCTGGTAAGAGAATTTGAATGACTAATATCTTACCTGGAGAAGTTTTTAATCCAGTCATATTGAACATGTAGATATTGTCATCTGTGCAATTGGCAAATAAAGTAGATCCAGTAGAATCCAAAACCAGACTTGAGTATCCTGGAAAAAGGAAACTTTAGTTAGCATGTCCTGATGATGGTGAGCAGACCTAAAGCTAAAATGTTGAGGCAAAAATCATACCACAAGAATAATCATCAGAATTCTTTGTCTTCAAAATATATAAAAATCAAAAATATTCTTATTTTTTATCTTTTGAACTTCAAAAAGATACAACTACATATGAGAGTTTCCCAAGTCTATGTTGCTGAAAACTAGTCTGATATTTTTAAAAAAGGTTTTAACAAAAACTCACATCTCCCCAATAAGTTCTATAGTCTATGAAATGGCTTACCTAGTTTTCGAGTGCTGCTACCTGGGTACAGGAAAGACTTGGATGCTATGGGTTCTTGTCGATAAGCAGTGTAATTTTTGCGCAAATCCCATACTTTGATTATCCTAGAAACCAAGGCAAATAGTTATTTTGTAGAAAAAACCTTCTCCCAAAACCTAAACTTCAATTACTTTGAATGTGAAATCACTTTTAATCTAACTCTTTTGCCACATTAATGAGGCACAGTAAGGATATCTCACTGGGAAATAAATTAAACTATCTCATACTGTTGTCTTCAACATCAGACTTACAATACTGGCAGAACGGAAACAGATGTGATTTGACCCAGTGATGGGTTATTGGAGTTTACTCCAAGGGAGCGGAAAAGGAAGATGAAGGTTGAGCGCTGATAGTCATTGTTCCATTGTTTTCAGAAAAAACATTTCCTAAGCCTTTAATATCTACATATATCTTTTGACATCATAAGTAGAAAGCTCTCTCTGCGGAAAAGGAAGATGAAGGTTGAGCGCTGATAGTCATTGTTCCATTGTTTTCAGAAAAAACACTTCCTAAGCCTTTAATATCTACATATATCTTTTGACATCATAAGTAGAAAGCTCTCTCTGTATGGTTATACATAACTCCTTAAGAAATCTAGTCTAAACAAATTTTCCTGGGAAATAGAGAAAAGTGTTTTTTCATTTCATCTATTAAGATACTTGTCTTAATCCTCTATTTCTAGTTTGCAGGCAACTTGAAAACACAAGCTTGTTATAAAATGGCAGTATACTTGGAAATGAACAGAGCAAGCTTTCACAGCCATTAACAAGCATAACTAATAACCTTTAGATAATCCTTCATTCCTGCCTGAGAATTTGGTCCACATAAGGTTTTAATGCCCAGAGGGCACAATGAAAATCCTAGTTTAGTAAGCCATCCTCTTTTTAAATTAAAATTTTTGAAGGGAGGGATGCAAAGAAGGGTGCTTAAAAATAGAGTCCCAATATGCAAAGAATTTATATTCTATAAAGCAACCAACCAATCAACAAGCTCACAGACTTATTTGGAAGCCAAAAACTCAGACCAGTCACGGGTGGAAGGTATGTGAAAGTCATTAGGCCTTACTATCAATCTAGTTAGATTACTCCCAGAAATGCCAATTTCATGCGGGGTGGCTGGCCAGTTAGCTCATTTGGTTAGAGCATAATGCTGGCCAAGGTCACAGGTTCCCTTACTGGCCAGCCACCAAAAAAAAAAAAAAAAATCAGGGACTAAACTATCCAAAGGTACCTCAAAAAGCTCACGGAAAACTTCATAGTATTTTTTTTATTAATAGTTTTTTTACATTCTATGATGTTGCTGCAGAGCAGTTGGGAGGGAGCGGGACAGGGGAAAAGGGAAGGAAATGTGATGGAAGAAGGAACAAGGAGTGGGATTGAGGCCTGTGGCAACCCCCTCATTCCCACAGGGGAGACTGGGGGGATTCCAGTGGTGGCTTGGTCATTGCTGAGCTGGGTGCAATTGTCAGGGGAGTGTGGCAAAAGCCCTTGCCCCCCCCACCACCCAAGCTTGGGAACCTGGGGCCCTTCTTGCTGAAGCTTGGTGGTCGTTGCTGGGCTGGATGCAGGTGTGGGGGGGGGCATGGTGTGGCTGAGACCCTTGGCCTCCCCACACTACCTGGACTCAGAAGAGCCCAGGGCTCTTCCTGCAGCAGCTCAGTGGTCATTGCTGGAGTGGTTGTGTGTCAGGGGGTGTGGCCGAGGCCCAAGGGCCCCCCCTAAGGATTGGTTGCTGGCAGCGGTGTGCATGGCTGAGGACCCGGCCCTCCCCTCTTTCTGGCTTGGTAGCCCATTGGACTTCCAGTCCTTCTAGGTGTTATAGGTGCTCTTTGGTGAAATGAGATCTTTACTAGTTAATATCAAACTTTGTCTCTGGTTGCGGGTACTTTGTTTTTTCTTTCAGTTCTGTGTTGGATTATTTGCTGCTCCTACCACTTAAACTCTGTGCCGAAACTAATTTTTTGTCCTTGGCTTACTTCTAAAATGGGGGAACTTCCTGTGGGGACCAATACTTGAGCTGTGTGGTTGAACTAAATTGCTGCTTTGCTGTTGATTCCCTAGGGAAGGTTTTTTTGTGCAGCTCAGGTTTTAATGGTTGACTTTATAGGTACTTTGGGCTCTCAAGAGATCTGGTGCACCCGGGTTGTGTAGAAACTCTGGTCTGGGCCTGAGTCTTTTCATCAAACTGTACCCCATGCAATTCTATATTCCTGAGTAGTCTCCTCTGAGTGGTCCTATGCTGACTGGGGGGGCAGATTAGCTGTCCTTGTTGTGCCCCGGTGTTCTCCCAGTGGGCCCGTCTCCCCCACCGCCCATGCTGCAAACACTTCTCATGGGATGGGCCATGCTATGGTCCCATGTGATGACTCACTGGCCTCTGAGTGGCTCCTTTTTTTCAGTTGTGGCTCCTTGCTCCTGTGTGGGTCCATGGGAACCCTATTAGTGATCTTGCTGTCCTGGGGGCCACCAAGGCCCTCTTCTCCCCTGCCACCTCCAAGCAACTTCATCTGAAGGGCATAGCTGCAGCTTTTGCCAGCTCCTGCTCCGTGTACTCAGCAGCTCCAGGCTGGAAGTGGCCGGGATTCGAAACAGTCGGAGTGTTTTTTTCTTTCTTTCATTGTGGCTTCTCCCATCTTCATACACTCTGTAGGTCTTTCCTCCTCTTCCCCTGAATTCCAGCAGCCCCAACTTGGCTGTCATTGCTTTTTTATAGTTGTAAATTGGTTGATTTGTGAGAGTGATGCTGGGCACTGTCTATGCTGCCATCTTGACTGGAAGTCCCATCAACTTTTTGAAGACCTCATATACTTGCAATGTCATCATTCCCCTAATCCTTCCCTAAAGGGACTTGTACCAGAGTAACTGGACATAAGGGAAAGTATTTTTGAGGGCTATTGCTATGAGCTGACACTCATACCAGGAGACCCAACATACCAGCATACCAGTTCCAGCAGTGGAGACTTTAGCTTGTTCCATTAACCTTGACAGAGGAGACTTTTATCAAGATCATTGCTGACTATCACCTTGCAAGCTCAGTGACAGATTGTACTTCATGTAGTACACAAGCAGATCTGAGTGCTGCAAGAGGTGGACTGTACCAGACATTTCTCATGCCTTGACTCTCAGCCTCGGGTTTCAGCTGTGATTGCAGCAGTTTCTTACAAGCTTTTACTCACTTCAAGCTGATAACTCATCATCCCAAGTAGGCACAGTGTTTCTTCAATTTGCTGCTTTAGGAACTCTCTGGTGCTGCAGATATTAGATAAAGCTCACATTTCACAGTTTCCCATGTCCTGGGTCCTCCCTGTAGAGCTCCCCATATGTGCAGTGCATAGGGCTACAGAGGCTGCTGTGGAGGGACGTAGGCCTCCCAGAGCTGACAACATGGAGCCTGGAGCTCATAATATCTTTTAATTCTATTTTTCCACAAACTTTTTTTTTTTTTTTTAAAGATGACCAGTAAGGGGATCTCAACCCTTGACTTGGCGCTGTCAGCACCATGCTCTCCCAAGTGAGCAAACTTTTTTTTTTTTTTTTTTTAAAGATGACCGGTAAGGGGATCTCAACCCTTGACTTGGCGCTGTCAGCACCATGCTCTCCCAAGTGAGCCATGGGCTGGCCCTTTCCACAAACTTTTTGAAGTACCCTCATACTGCATAAGGCAAGCAAGCTGCTCATCCAACTTCTCTGTAATAGCAGCAGCAGCAGCAGCCAACACTGTTCCTATGTGCTAGACAGGTTGCTAAGTGGGATACACATATTATCTCATTAAATTATTTGGACAAGAGTCTTAACTAGATATTTTCAGTGTGATCTGTAGTTCTTCTTCTCAGCTGGGATACTATGTCGAAAGTTAAAAGCACTTTCAATATAATGGGACAAGGCGACTTCCCCATCACAGTTCATGAAAGAGGACCTCATCAAAAGAATCAAGAAATAGGGGGCCGGCCTGGTGGCGCACTGCTACAGTGCGCTGCTTGGGAGCGCGGTGGCACTCCCGCCGAGGGTTCGGATCCCACATACAGACTGGTTCCCGCTCACTGGCTGAGCGAGGTGTGAGAACAACACTGAGGGTTGCGATCCCGTTGCCGGTCCGGGTCCGGTCCGGGCGCGACACTGAGGGTTGCGATCCATTGCCGGACACGAAAAAAAGACAAAAAGGAAAAAAAAAAAAAAAAAAGAATCAAGAAATAAAGACTCTTACCCATCCACAGCTCCTGCTGAGACTAATATATTTTCATCCTGAAAGAGGACCACAGTAACACTCTGCTGGAAATCCTAATAGCCCAAGAAAGAAAAAGATAAGAAGGAAATTGTACCTTGGGTATTACAGTCTCCACCATCAAAAGAAGGTGCTAAAAATGACTTTTCCCCCCAAACTCTGAATTAAACTAAATCTTCCCTTTCCAATAATCCTAATCAGATGTATATGCTGACCAAAAAGTAATTTTACCAAGGAAAAGACCTAAACATCATTAAGTTATAGCATATAATATTAACGCTTTGACTTGTACTCAAGAAACAAACAAGTAACTAGAAGATTTAACTTATCTGAGCCTACTGGATCTACTTACAATCAGCATTACTAAGCTGTGTATCCTTAGGAAACTCATTTAACTTTTATAGATGCCAATTTCATCTATAAAATGTTGCTGTCTACCCAAATTATAATATACGGATATCTAAAGAATTATGGATTAAAGATTATTACACGCTCTGAAAAAGTTAAAGGAGCTCAACACAGTTTTATCTCCTAATTGCTATTGCCTAACAAGTTCTCTTAGCTCAGAACCTGATTAAATGTCTGAAATATTATTCATTTTAACTTCATCTGGCCTCCCCAGACAATTGTCTGTTTCTATTCATGCCTGTGTCCTGCTCATGGTATACAGTTTTAAGTCTTAATGTTTTAGCAATCACACTTCCCCCAAAATGTTAAGTTAGATCCTACAAACCAGGAATATTAGAAAATAAAAAAATGAAAGTGAGATTGATGGCAATTTTTTTTTAAGAAAAAAGATTATGGGCATTGTTTGAGCTTTGACAATAAGTTATTAGAGTGGTACTATGTTGTACCCAAGTGTTTCTCAATATATTTAATAATATTTTGCCAAATGTTTAAAAAAATACCCAAAACACATCTTTCTGTAGTTCATATTATAAAAAAACAGGGATTCCCTTCCCATAGAAAACTGTCATAGTACTTAATATGCTTCTTCAAACTACTCTACCTGCCCTTTTCCTAATAAATCACCTTACACTGTAAGCATGTGTATGTATGGAGTTTGCTAGGGATGAGGCTCAGGAAGCTGAATTTTTAACATGTTCTCCAGGTAACTGTGATGCACACTAGAGTTTGAGAACCACTACTGTAGGTACTGAATAAGCAATAAACCATTGATATCAAAAGAAAATGAAGATTCTCATTCATATAATCCATAGCTCCCATTTTATGCCAAACAAATTCCCTAAAATGAAATTTTATCCTACTTAGTAGCTACACACATGTATACACCTATAAAACCTTACCACGGAAGGAGCAAGTCCTTTTGAATTTTGTTTCTTCTTGGGTTTTGAAGGGGTCTGCTTGTCTGAAGTATTGTGAGCTCCACTGATTTGATTCACTTGCCTATAAAACCCATCTGAAAGATATTCCAAGGAAAATGATTTAGGCTTCAGAACTCTGACTTCATGCTGAATGTAATATTTATACATAAGACCTCAAAGTAATTTTTGATCAGATTAGTGAAATTAGAAACTAGCAGAGCCAGCTGCACTATATCTCCTGTGGTAAGATTATAATGTATAAAAAAGAAAGTAAGCACAAAGATGTATATAGCAGCTTTATTTATAATTGCCAAAACTTGGAAGCAACCAAGATGTCCTTCAGCAGGTGAATGGATAAATAAACTGTGATACCTCCAGACAATGGAATACTCATATTATTCAGTGATAAAAGGAAAAGAATTTGACAAAGCCATAAAAAGACACAGAGGAAACTTAAATTCATATTACGAAGTGAAAGGAGCCAATGTGAAAAGTCTACATACTGTATGATTCCAACTACATGACATTCTGGAAAAGGCAAAACCATGGAGACAGTAAAACAATCAGTAGTTGCCAGGACTTAGTGGGGAGTAAAGGATGAATAAGCAAAGCATAGAGGTTATTTAGGGTGGTGAAACTATTCTGTATGATACTACAATGGCAAATACATGTAATTATACATTTGTCAATATCCATAGAATGTACAAGACTAAGAGTGAGCCCTATGTAAACTCTGGGTGATAAAGATGTGTCAGTATAGGTTATAACAAACGTACCACTCGGGTGCAGGACGTTGATGGGGGGAAGGCTGGGGGGGGGGGGCGGGGGGAATATGGGAACTCTCTGTACTTTCTACTCAATTTTGCTGTTAACCTGAAACTGCTCTACAAAATAAAGTCTATTTAAAATTTTTTTAAATAAATAAATTAATAATAAACAGGGATATGATCATCACTTTCTGCTTAATGGAATCATGGGGCAGCATGAGCTTATATTTAATTTAATCTAATTATATAAAATTAAAAAATTAGGGCCAGCCCCGTGGCAAACTCGGGAGAGTGCGGCGCCGGGAGCGCAGCGACGCTCCTGCCACGGGTTTGGATCCTATATAGGACTGGCTGGTGCACTCACTGGCTGAGCGCAGTGCGGGCGACACCACACCACAGGTTGTGATCCCCTTACCAGTCACGAAAAAGACAAAAAAAAAAAAAATTAAAAAATTAAACTAAAATAAAAGATAACATTTACCAGTGAGCCTATGTATTAATAATTTTACTCCCATCAATAATTTAGGTAAATGGAATTAAAATTCAGAAGACAATATGAGGTAAACATGTGAGTATAATACTTGGAACAATCACGAAGATACTGAGAATTGGAATTGTGAGCAGAAATGGGGAATGATGAACACCTGTGCCCTCTGGCGGTAATCAGATGAAATTACTAACACTTTCATTCAAAATAAGTATAGGGTCATGCCATATCTGTCAAAATTAAAACAAAACTAGACTACCTTTTTTGTTGCACCTGGTGTCCCAGACCATAATGTTCCCATCTCTTCCACCTGTACAGAATACAGCTGCAGGGAAATAGTTTATCAAGAGGTTAACAAAACCTATCTATCACACATACATTTCAAATTAAATTCCCTAGAGTATTATGTGCTAGGTACTGTATTTGGCACTGGAGATTAAAAACTAAAATATATGACTCAACAACAAATAGGGAAAATAACTGTGAAGGGAAGGGATTACAAAGGGCTCAAGATGCTTATGCTGAACAAAAACATTACAGAGTAATCCCTTTGTGTAAATTTTCTTAAAACAACATAAAATATATAGCAAAGTTATAGTAAGAATAATAAACAAGTAATAGCCAAAAATATGAGTGCGTACTATCCGAAGTACTAGATAGTTTCCTGTTTTACACAAATTATCTCAATCCTTCTTATCAACCTTATTAGGTAGGTATTATTCTCCTCATTTTACAAATGAGAAAACTAAGGCACAGAGAGAATAAGTAACTGGTAAAGGTGTTCTTGGCAGTATGAATCCAGGGCCTATACTCCAAACCTTAAAGCTGTATTGTCTCAGTATAAAAACATGGACCAGATCCATAAGAAATTTGTGAACGGGGTTGCCTCTGGAGATGGAAGGAGAGCAATGGGACTGGAGAAGGGAATACAGAAGAACTTCAATTTATCTGTAATGTTTTATTCTTTAAAATTAAGCCAAAAACCTCTGCTTCCTGTATGGAAGAATGAGCACTTAAACTGATCCACCTGCATTAGCTATAAACTGGACAAAATAAAAAAACAACTACCTGAGGACTCTATGAAAACTGAACAAAAACATGCAATTTTTGGAGAGGAGTCAACACCTGAATCAAGTGATTGCTGGGTAAATTACTGGTTTTTTGTTTTGTTGTGTTGTGTTGTGTGTGTGGTTTTACCTTGAGGGCAGCCACAGTTGCAGCAATTAGTACCCGATAGCTAAAATGCCATAGAAAAACCTACAATCTTTAAACCCAGAGGAACCAGGAAAAGGAGAGCAGAGTCAACAAGAACTGTCAGAGAGTAAGGGGGTGGGGGATTCCAGACAGAGAGTGAGCCAGAGAAAAGGAACCCTGATTCTGTGTTTAAACTCAGTCCAAGTCTCAGGATGACCCCTGAACCATATCTACAAGAGAAAACTGAAAGCAGCTTGCACCTGAGGATTAAACTAAAGAAATGAATAAAGATATGACCCACTGCCCTCCTGCACATGTGAAAGTCTGAAATTTGAGTCTAAACGAGTTAAATGCTTATTGAGACAAAAACATTAACTCTTTTCTAAGCAATATTAACACAATCCAGAATCCAACATACCATTCACAATGTCCAGGATATAATCTTAAATTATTTGACATACAAAGAGCCAGGAAAATGAGTTATTCTCAAGGAAAAAGAAATCAATGGAAGCCAACCCCAAGACAAACCAGGTTTTGATTGATCAGAAAAGGTTTTATATATATATAACTATGTCCGGTGAAGAAATTTACACTTGTAATCAATGAAAAGACACTAAATCTCAGTAGAGAAACAGAATTCATATGAAGCAAACAAATGGAAATTTTAAAACTGAAAAATGATATCTGAAATGATAAAAATTCACAGGATAGACTTAAGAGCAGAATGAAGAGAACAGAGAAAGTCACTCTTGAAGAGATATTAATAGAAATCATCCAATTTGAAGAGAGAGAAAAATAAGATTGAACATTATGCTAGGTAAAAGAAGCCAGTCACAGAAGACCATGTATTGTATCATTTTATTAACATGAGTATGTAGAATAGGCAAATCTACAGAAACACAAAGTAGTATAGCGGTTGTACAGGGTGGGGTACTGCTAATGGATTTAAGTTTCTTCTTGGGCTGATAAAAATGTTCTAAACTTAGACTATGGTGATAGTTGCACAACTTTGTGAGGAACTTTAAAAAAAAAAGGTACCTGGCCCACCTCCCATAGATTCCCATGTAATTGATATTTTAAAAAACCTGTGAAGGTGACTAATTTGCAGTCAGGGTCTCGAGAACCAGGACTAGGAGGAAGGATTGGCTTTAAACTAGAGAATGAAGAATGAGAAAGAAGGTGCAAATATAGTTAAGTTTTTAGGAGAGAAAATAGAAATAAATTTATAATCAATTTTAATTGTCCATTAGAAGTTCTAGCACCTTCTGGAGCAGGAGACGGCAGAAGCCGCAGCTGTGCCCTTCAGATGGAGTTGCTTGGAGGTGGCAGGGGAGAAGAGGGCTTTGGCAGTCCCCAGGACAGCAAGACCACTAATAGGGCTCCCATGGACCCACGCAGGAGCGAGGAGCCAGAACAACTGAAATAAGGGAGCCATTCAGAGGCTGGTGAGTCAACGCAAGGGACCAGCGCAGGGCCTGTTCCATGGGAAGTGTTTGGAGCATGGGCAGTGGGGGAGACGGACCCACTGGGAAAACACTGGGACACAGCAAGGACAACTGATCCACCCCCCAATCAGCGCAGGACCACTCAGAGGAGACTGGTTGGGAATGCAGAATTGCATGGGGTGCAGTTTGATGAAAAAACTCAGGCCCAGATCAGAGTTTCTACACAACGCTGATCCACTGGGTCTCTGGAGAGCTGGAAGTACCTATAAGGTCAACCATTAAACCCTGAGCTGCACAAAAAGGCTTCCCGAGGGAAGCAGCAGCAAAGCAGCAATTTAGCTCAACCACACAGCTCAAGTACTGGTCCCACAGGAAGTTCCCCCATTTTAGAAGTAAGCAAAGGACAACAAATTAGTTCTTGCCCAGGCACACCACCAGCGTCTTGGGGCCTGCCTGGGAAGCGGAGGCTTGGAGCTGGGACTGGACCCCTCTCCCACATCCAGGTACACCGTGCCAGTGCCTTGGGGCCCGCCCAGGGACCCAAGCCATGGAGAAGGGGAGCAGACCCCCCTCCCACAACCAGGCATACCACACCAGCACCTAGGGGCCCACCTAGAGCCGAGGACCAGACACACCCCACAACCAGGCACACTGCCAGCGCCAAGGAGCATGCCAAAAACATCACTTCCATGTGGGTGGCCCACCACAGCCACCACCATAACCATGGCTGCCACGAAAGCGGCCAGACACCACAACCACCACGCAGAAGGTCCGCCAACCACTGGAGTGCACTGACACAAGGAGTCATCAGCAGAGATAAAGAAAAGAAGAAGACATCTCTCTCCACAAAGCCCATTTCAGAGTAACAGAAGCATCTGCTCTGTAATAATATTAGGGGACCTGATCACACCTCTCAGCATTGGACAGATCATCTAGGTAACAAATCAACAGAGTAACCATTATTCTTTGAAGGAGAGAAGAAATCTATGGTAATTAGAGGTGGGAGGGGGGAAGTAGAGGGGGATGAGGAGAGATTGGACAAAGGGCATAAAGAATAATTATGATTTGTAACAATATATACGCTAGTAATATTGATTTGATCAACATATCTCAATGTTGAACCCCCAAAATACGTATAATCAATAAAGAAAAATAAAATAAAATAATAAAAAAAGTTCTAGCACCTTCTTACTTGCCACACAAAGCACATATCTATAAATCAATTTTCCTTGTTTTGAGGTAGTAGATATGTAGGGAAGGTAAATTCCATTAGTAATACTATGTTCAATTAAGATTATTTGTATCTTGCCCGTGCAGGTCTAAAAGAACCGGACCAATGATCTTTTCTACCATGCAAACTACAAAAAACCAAAACCAAAAAAACAACAAAAAAACATTAAACATTTAAATGGACCTGTTTTTAAAATTTTTAAAACGCGGGGCTTCTATGTATAGTAGTAAAGGTATGCCCTTCTTTAAGCCATATGGCTGAAGAAGTGAGTGGAGCTAACACCTAGTCTGTTTCATCAACCAAACCATGGGGCTTGGGGACAGTGTCCAACCAGACTAATTCACATTAAAGCACCTATGGACCGCTGAGGATGATTATAAAATCCACCTGCCCCGATTTCTAAATCAGGGCTTTTACTAGACCACACTGGCATAGATTGATTCACATGCACAGTTTTAAAAATTAAGCAAAGGGATCAAAAGATATGGTGTTTCCCTTTTCCATTACCCTTAAGTTAGATACATTTTCATGATCTTAAATTATTTTTATAAACTCAGAGTGAATTCTGAAGCAGGAATGCAGTAAACTAAAACACAAGAATACCTAAACTTATATAAAGATATATTAATGAAAAGTTATGCAGAGATCAAAAATCATGCCACATATTTCTTTTTTCGGGTTCCAGTCTCAACAGCAAGTACAGTAGATTAAAGCTGACTTCCTTTTTTTTTTTAAAAGATGACCGGTAAGGGGATCTCAACCCTTGGCTTGGTGTTGTCAGCACCATGCTCACCCAGTGAGCGAACCGGCCATCCCTATATGGGATCCGAACCCGTGGCCTTGGTGTTATCAGCACCGCACTCTCCCGAGTGAGCCACGGGCCGGCCCAAAGCTAACTTTTTAAAAGTCCAAACCAGTTTAACAACTCAATATTCCTGAGTGCTCAAGTAAATAAAAATATTCCTTTTTAAAATAGAATATCTTTTTAATGATAAAGGAGATTGTAATGTTTGTCTCTATTATTCTGAGATTAAAGTCAAATTTAGACACTTCTTTGAGATAAATGTTTGTTGGCCTATTTCTAAAAAAAAAAAAAAAATTACCTAATGAGAAACAAATGGAGGAAGGAGAAAAGATGACAAAAAACCAGAAATGCAGAGCTTATTCAGAAACCTCGGTTAAGTTTTTCCCTAGCTGCTGTAGTATTGTTCTGTGTTATATTACTCTTTAAGTCTTCCTTCTCCATCATAACAATAAAATAGAGGAAAATCAATTGTGAGTAAATAATAGTTGAAAGCATACTAGGAAATTAGGTCATTTAAACAAATTACACGTTAAATTTTTAGGTAGAAAATCATGTCCAGTTTATCAGGTTTCTCATCCTAGCCTCATATTCCATTTAAATTTTACAAGTTGATTTAAAGTAACTCTATTTTACAAAAACAGTTAATGAGTGCCCCAGTACAAGGTTTTGATTTCAATCAAAGTTGAACAGAGTTATTGTGGCTGTTTATAAATTTTCACCTTATCTGCAAGATTATAGGAAAAAATTACCTGAAGACGCTTGACTTTCAGGAACAAGCTGGATATAATGTCCATAAGAATGGGCCTAAGCCAACTTAATTTCATTAAAGTTTTCAGTCATATTAAAATCTCAATCATCTATGTAGGTAAAGTAGCAACTTTGATGAGGGAAAGGATGGAAATGATTATAACTTCTTGTTTCCCCACCGATAAGGAGATTAAGGAGATGGGAGAGGATAAGCACAAACTTACCTTTCTCAAACTTGGAAAAGGCAACTGACTTGAGGCTGCATTGATGACCTTTGCATGTTCCAATCAACTCACCAGCTTTTACATCCCAAAATTTGGCTGTTTGATCACCTGCTGCTGTAACCTTTCAAAAATAAGGTAGCACAATTTAATAAAGCAACCTTTTACCAGTATTTAACCAGATCCCAATAAAATGAAAGTCACTTACAAGTTTAAGTTCACCAGGGACCCAAGCCAGGTCAAAAACAGCATTCCAGTGAGCCATCCATTCTAAACAAAGAAAATGGCAAAAATGAAATGTCTAGACTGTATTCTGTGGTAGCTATATCAGTAGCAGTTTAAATGCCTTAAAAGCTGTAGTGAAGGAATCAGCGGTCAGCACCCTGTGGTCAACAGGCCAAAGAGAATTTGTGGACTCACAGACATTACACATTCCCTTCATTACCACATATGAAAACTACCATCTGATGTGAAATTCCTTTCCATGAGTTGATTAGTAATATATTTCCTAAAATGGAATCTTAACGAAACATTCTCCACTTCAAAAATCATGATGCTTCTGAATGGAGTCTAAAATACTTCAGTCTGACACTGAAGGTCTTGCATGCTTTGGCTTTTATATCTCTGTTGCAAGGCTTATCTCTATTTTCCATACATTTTATTCCAACCAAACTGGATCACTCCCTATTTCTGAATTATATCCTATGCTTTCCTATCCCTAGGGTTTTGCTAAAACCCTACCTGGAGTGCCCTCTTCCATCTATCCTTTGGTCTTAATACCATAGTCTAACTCTAATGCTGCATCCTTCGTGAAAAATTTTCCTGAACTTCTTTATTGCATGACAGCTCTCTCTTTGATACCTGTGGTGTTTTCTTTGTACATCTACATCATTTATAGTCTTTGTTTTATTTTAGTTATTTCGACACTTGACTTACTGGTTCTAAATTATCAGCTTTTTAAGGTCAGTAGAACTTTGCTTTATAAATGGAAGATGCTCAATCAATATAAATATTTTAAAGCAATGCTTCCCCAACCACATGAAGTGTAAAAGATTTAGCTCCTTAAAAGAACTGTTTTTAATCCTAAAATGTATTTTCCTAACTTTTAGTAAAGATATTGCCATAATTAACAGCTACTGAGACAGGCAGTCTACCATTTACTCTTAGCCTGGTCCCTAAACAGACTTAATCAAAAGAATATAATTGGGAATGTATTCAAATAATAACTTACTTGAGGCTTTATGAATTAAAAATGTTAAAACAAAAATTGTAGGTCTAGACTTACCTTTGAAGCACTTCTTTCTGTAAGTTTGTGATTCTGTGTTATATAATCTAACGAAGCCTTCTTCATTGGCAACTGCTAGTATATGCTCCATATTGGTGACTAAGTAAGAAATAAAGAATAAAATATATAAAGAGTAACAAAAATTTTTAAGCTAATTCAAAACCACCAGAATTATTTTCAGACAATCTCTTATTTAAAGAAGAGCTAAATCAAGTTTAACAAAACGAGAATGGTACCAGCCAATGGCAAATAAAGGCATATGAAGATATAGGCCACCAGCAAGCCAAGTCTATTAGTTTTATATTTCCTTTTCACAACCTTTCACCTTTCCTCTCTTCAACTATTAACTATTATAGGGACAAGTACTTCTGTTTCTTCATATATTCCCTAATGAATCACAAAAAGAGATATATTCAACCAGACCAAAAGGGGTATATACTGGGCAAAACAGTTTTCATAGTGGCTGAACCTTTACAACCCTTTCCTTATATTAGTTCAAAGAAGATGGTGCTCTAACAGTCCTAGGCTTTAGAAGAAATATGTAATTATGCTAATTATACATAGAAAAGTCTATTTCATATATCAGGAGAGAACAGTTATTAGAAAAACTCTAACATCGACCTAACTTACTTTTCTTCAAAAGGGAGACTCTCTAGTATATTTTCCCTGTAAAAGTGAAATCATTTCTATCCAAGCCTAGCCTAGATACTCTTACCAGAAGAGAAGGTGCATCCAAAAGGAGGAACTGGGACTCCTGTTTCTCCGTAAGAAGTGTGCTCATCATTAAAGCTGCATTGATAACCAGTTAGAAGGGACTGTAGAGGGTACTGCGAAGACCACCCTAAAACAAGACAATTCCTTATAGAATTCCAACATAGCATATTTCAGCACTTTTAACAAATGCAGAGGTAAATACAAAAGTACTTCAAAACGTCTGTGGAAAAACAGAACTAAAAGACAATAGGAATCTTTCCATGAATTTTTTGAAGTACCATATTTGTTCTTAAAAGGCTTTATGTATTTAATATAGATCTACTTACTATCTACAGTCCTCTAGAATATAGTTTCTGATATTTTCTTAATGGTTCCTAAGGAAAAAATGAAAGAGCACTCCTAATTTCTGGTGAGGTATAGTTTTAGGCTTACCATCTTAAAGGGAGACTCTCATTAATACATTAATATTGGAAGAAACAAGTGGACTTTGCACATTAAAAAAGATCTTAGACTTTCTTCCATCGAAAAGACAACCACAAAAGCATTACCATTAAAACTGCCATTCCGGGCCGGCCCGGTGGCACACTGGAGAGTGCGCTGCTTGGGAGTGTGGCGGCGCTCCCGCCGAGGGTTCGGATCCCATGTGGAGACCAGTTCCCGCTCACTGGCTGAGCACGGTGCGGGCGCAACACCGAGGGTTGCGATCCCGTTGCCGGTCCCCGGTCCAGTACGGGGGCAACACTGAGGGTCCGAACCCTCGGGCGGGAGCGCCGCCGCGCTTCCCAAGCGGCGCACTTATCCAGTGCACCACCGGGCAGGCCCCATATATATGCATTTCTAAAACTGATCTGCCTGAGAAGGTTAAGGTGCTCCTCTTCATCACTTCCTTTCTTCCACTTTACCAAAGAAAAGCCATTACCATGATCCAATCTTACACCTTGCATTGACCCAAAGTATAAAAACTTCTGGGTATCAATTAAATATTTTTAAATAAAAGCAAAAATCTTCTGAGACCCCAATTAAAAGACAACTGGATAATTCCTTTAATAAAAGCACCATAAACACACCCAAATCCATCTCTTGAAAAGACGTAATTTCAATAAAATTTTACTTTTTGCTTAATAATTATTTATTAAAATTAGCAATCTATATTGTTTTTATCAATTGCATACTACTAATAATTGAAATGATAATTCAATCCAGAAGAAAGTTTTCACACTTGGAGACTTACAATCACAGACAACAGCAACAAATATATTTTTTGACACAGAAGGGTATGATAGGATGATCAGTAAAAGAACTTTTCAAGCATAAAATTACATTAAGATAAATTCCATGGAAGAAAATAAAATGTAACTAAGTTCAAGAGGAAAAAGAATTCACTATGTAGAATGTCTAGCAGTTAAAGAGTTCCTATTTTTTCTTAAGTGGATGATATTATCAAGTTACTATAGTATTTATATTCCATTAGATAATTTTTTAAAAGAGTGATGCAACATTCTTATTTTAAAATGGCAATATTCACAACATGGCTTGCCCCAGGTCACACAATTTAAAATGTCAATATTCACAACATGGCTTGCCCCGGGTCACACAAATACTAAGGAGTGGAGCTGTAATTAAAACTCAGGCAGTTTAACTCCAAAGACAGAAACCACTGTGCAGTACTGCCACTCATGACACAGAGGACAGAGAAGTCACTCAGGCAAGGTCCTAGAAGAAACAGAAAGGACACTTAGAATATAATTACAAAGATTATCTAAGAGGAAAGTAGGAAGGATGGTATAAGCTTTAGATTGGTAGCAGGAAACTGAGAGAATCTCTATTTCAACATCCTTTTCCTACATTTATTCCTTAAATACAAAAGTTGCCTTTTCAGATTCTTTTTGTTTTCCACATGGTTTCAAGGGGAAGGAGGACCTCTGAGTATAGTCGACCTATAAACGAGTGAGATTTCGTATATGTCTTAGGTTAGTCTTGGCAGTTAACTCCCATATCAGAAACTTACCAAAAAGTTTCAGGTTGATGACGCCCAAAGTTAAGCTCAAATATCTTATTGTCAATGTTTTAACATAAGAAACCTAAAGAACGGTAGAAAATAAGTTGGATTTCTACATACTAACATGGGAATATATCCAATTTATATCGTTAAAGTGAAAAACAAAACATTTTTATTCCATTTCTGAAAATAATAGATATTATTTCTGGCACAGAAAAACGTCTGGAATAATATACTTCATTCAGCGTATTCACAGTGATCTTCTCTGGGGGGTGTGGTTATAAGCATCTTTCACTCTGTAAGGTTGAATTTTTGTGACCATGTAGTAATTGGGAGAGGAAAAAAAAAAAAAAGACTTTGAGCCTGCTAGAAGTAGATGTCCTGTCTTCTCTGCTTAACTGAGTTCCGGAACACAGGGTCATTTTCACTCGTGTATCATAGGAAATAGTAGCGCTCACGAAGATTGTACAACAAACAAATGAAATAATCAGCGAATAAAGTCGTGACGATCTCACATAGCTGTTGAGAGAAACACACACACACACACACAAATGCATGCATTTTCAAGTTAACGCGCAATACAGATATAGGCCGTAAGGGGCCTCGGAGGCCAGTTAATTCAACGTCCTTCTGACTTCGGCCTACATTCCGATCTTAAAAGTCCGATTACGATTAAAAGTGTCCTGACGGAATGAAAGTACAGCTTTCTTCAGTAGCGCTTGTGAACACTAATTCACTCTTGCCTGGGAGAACTCGGAGGCTGGAAACCAGAACTGGAGTCGGCCCCGGTGCGGGGTGGTGTGTGCTTCGGAGAGATGAATCCCGCCAGCAACGAGCAGCGGTTAGGGCCGTTACTCACCATTTCTCAGGACGCCGAGCTGGGGCTGGCGGAGCACCGAATTGAAGAGCATCTGGGCCGGAGGAAAAGGCTCAGCTGAGGGAAAAGCCGTGGAAATGCCCCCAAATTAGGCAGGAATGGTATTTTGCTCCCCTCACCTCTGGACTCCTTATTGCCTCCAACTCCCGCCACTGTAAGCCCCGGCCGCCAAACTCCGCGCCAAACTGACGTCACGCTCTCTGATTGGCTGCCGCCGCTGCGTCCGGACGCCTCAGAGTCACTTCCCTCTTTGGATCCCCGCCTCCTTTTCTCCCAGCCGCGGGAACCAAGAGCTACGGAGCTTCCTGAGCGCCTGCGCGGGCGGACGCAGAGGCACGGGCGAACCGCTGAGTGGCCAGGGCGCATGCGTAACACGGTTTGACCGAGCGCGGAGGAAAAATCCGCGAGAAGGTGCGGCAATAGAAGATGGCGGTACTAGGGTAGAGTTTGCAATCTTTCTGACTAGGCTGGTGGAATAACTATCCGGGTCATGGCGTCAAACTCAACTAAGTCTTTCCTGGCAGATGCCGGCTATGGCGAACAAGAACTGGATGCTAACTCTGCCCTTATGGAATTGGACAAAGGTATTCGGGAGAGCGGGATGAGCGGGAGGAACGGTGTGGGGATAAGTGGCGCCACCAGGTGGTGGTAGCCGCAGGAGAGGCCGGGAAGGCGCATGCGCTTAGCTTCATTGGCCAGGGATCTCCTGTCGTTTTGCTGGGACGAAGGTTTGGGCTGCGTGGGGAGATTGCAGGAAAATTGCAGAAAAATTGCAGAATTGCCGGATTGCCGGATTGGATTTGCACCAGCTGACCAAGTAGCGAGTTCTGGTGAGGGGCCAGTTTTGACCACTTGAAGGCACAGCCTCCCGATTTTCCAACCAGTGCAGGTGATTAGTCTCAAAACACGGAACTGAAATTGTGAAATTATTTTTCGGTACGTACGATTGAGACCAGGTCTTCATCAAGAGCGCTGAATAATAATCTTGCACCGACTTTATAGCGAGTCATTTGATTCCGTAGCTCTGTTGCATGCGGTTTACAAGGCAGGTTAAATACGGCCAAGACCATCCGAAAAACATCGCTCTTGCTCATTCCCCGCAGACGAGTTCCATGACTTTTGTTTCTTTACAGGGGGCACCTTGGTGTCGTAGAAGGAGCTTTAGGGTTAGGCAGAGTGGAATTCCAATTCTGCTGGTTTTGTGATCATTGACAAGTCACCTAACTACCTAGGCCCGGTTTATTGTCTGCAAAGTAGGTACAGTATCACTGAGCTGGCAAGATTGCTGTAAATATTAAGTGATATAAGGGTATGCAAAAGAAGCATCTATTAAATGCTGAAGAGATATGCCTTTCCAAATTTGTCAATAAAGAACTCGAATGTAATTATGAAACCTTTGTTTTAGCGAACTTCAAGGATTTTTATTGTATGGGGAAACATTTTGTCAGCTGGTATACTCTTAATTCTTGATTAACCTTGGCCAGTGTATAATGTATCAGAAGTATATTCCTTTAAGTCCACTTTGAGCCTCTTCCCAGTTCTCTGACTTGGATATATCTATTGACTTTGGTGATTCATTTTTTTGTTTTCTTGGGTTTTTTTTTTTAACACATTTTTAATGGGTTGGTCTAGATAAGAGTTTCTTAGACTTTTAAAAAAACTTGTACCTCCATTTGATCCACATGAAAATGTCACAACACCCCAGTGGGATATTCCTTTGGTTGAGTCAGTATTTTTAGTGCATCCCCATCAGCCAAGATGTTGAGGTTTTCTTTCTCTTACCAAAGCTATAGGTCTTTTCTCCTCTAAAATATAAAATTATAATATTAAATGTGTTTTTTAAAACACATAATCTTTTTCTCCCCATTCTGATAAATTCCTTACTTATTCCCCAGTGAGAGTTTCAGGTCCAGATAATATCTAATATCCCCTGCCAGTTCTAAAAACATTTTCTGTCCCCACCTCCCCCCCCAAGACATTTTCTATCACTGTGGTCCAGCTGAGCTTGTACCATGCCAGCAATATGATAGTGGTTGTAAAACAGGGATCAGGATGGAGAACTAAAGAAATGAGAAATTTAGAATTGTTTAATTCCTTAATATGTGCAATTGTAAAAAAAAATCTGACATAATTTTTCCTTCTTAAAGAAAAGTTGAAATGGAAGTATCTCATATCTGTAAGAAATAAATGGATGCCTGTTGAGTGTTTAACCCCACACCAGGCATGAGTCCTGTACAGAAAGTAAGTGATCATGTTCGATCCTCCCAGCAGTGCCCTGGGTGAGTATTTCACAAATGAGTCTTAGACTCAGAAAGATAATTTTTATAAGACAAGAACAAAATTCTTGTTCTTTTTCACCTCAGCATACTATCTTTTGAAGCTGTTAGGAAACTAGGTTATAGAAATAGCCAGTGTCAGTAGAATATATTGTGGTTTAGTATTTTAAATATTGAATCATTTCATCTTTTACCTGTTAAAGAAAGTACTTCTGTTTTTTTGAGCCAAAGGTCATAGAGTCAGAAGGCTACAAGTTCCAACTTTCTTTTAGATCAGGGTTTACCAAAGTGTGCTCCAAGGAATACTATTTGTGAAGTATTTTAATAGGAGTTCCCTCCCCCCACCCCCCACTGAGACACGTGACTTATTTCATTAGTCTTTGTGCTAGGGATACAGCAGTAGTAATGAAACAGAGTAGAGCTCCAGCCCTCATAGAGCTTATGTTTTAACACAGATGAAAGGGATAAACAAATGCAATAAGCATGTATTAAGACAGATAATGATACATATTATTAAGAAAAATGAAACAAGTGAAGGGAACTGGAGAAAACTGGTATAGGATTGAATGGGTTTGTCATTTTATAAAGGACAGTCATGAAGGGCCCCACTGATCAAGTGGAGGAACAAGTGCAGAAGCCCTGAGGCAGAAGCATGGTTTACATGCTATATCTGAAAAAGAGTTATAGGCAGTGAGGATAGAAAAATAACCAGAGGCCAGTTCATGTAGAACAGTGCAAGCCATTGAAAAGACTGACTTTAATTCTGAGTGAGAAATTCATGGAGGATTTTCAGCAGAGGTGTGACAACATCTGATTTACCTTTGATAAGGGTTCAGTGTGTGGCTACAATGTTGAGAATAGACTGAACTGAGAGGGAGGGCCGGGGTGGAAGTAGGGAGACCAGTGAGGAAGCAGTTGTAATAATCCAGGGGAAAGAAAATGAAAATAGTGGCTTGGACCAGGTTGGCAACAATAAAGCTGTGTGAAGTGCTGAGATTCTGTATATATTTTGAAGGTAGAATCAACAAGATTTGCTAATAGATTGGATGAGAATGTATGAGTGAGTGGGCAAGAAAACTTAGAGGTTTTTGGTCTGGGGTACTGGAAGGATGTATTCCATTTATTGAGAGGGTGAAAATCAGTTCAGTTTGGGACATGATAAATTTGAGATGTCTCTTAGACATCCAAATGGAGATGTTGAGTAAGCAGTTACATATAAGATGTAACCCTTGAACTCCATTTTAAGGAAATATCTTGTGGCACTGGTGTCCTTAGAAACAAACTAGGGAAATGCTGCTATCTATAACCTTCTATATATTATAACCTGTTGCACTTTTTTGGAGCCTTTTGAGCAAGTATGGCAATAAACTAATTGTTTCTGATCTCTATAGGAATAAATGAATGCTATTTTGAAGCTGACTCAATTCCATTCCTTAAGTATGTAGTTAGTAACACATGAAAATAATCATTCATATGATTCATTCATTCATTCAACAAATATTTAGTGACCACCTACATTGTGTCAGGCATTGTGCTCAGACTTGAGGCTATATTAGTAATAACACAGTTTTAAGGAGCTCATATGCAAATGTGAGGAGACAGACAGCGCTAGATAATGGCCTTGTTGGTCATGACAAGAATTTGGATTTTACGCAGAATGCTGTGAGAAGACATGAAAGTGCTATGGGAAGACATTGAAAGTTATAAGCTGATAGTCATGCTGACTGAGCTTCTGTGAAGACTGAGCCTATACAAGCAGAGTTAAGTGTTATAGTCAAATAAAACATTTATCTGACACATTTCATAATGTAGGTAATCATTAGTATACACAATTGGCATTATAAAGGACACATCTCACATAAATTAATTAGTGTAACTTTTTCACTAACGTAAATCGGCTGATGGAAAGTTGTCTTGATAATTTGAAAAAACTTAAGTAAGATTCTCCTTCACCCTGGGGGAAGAGGAATCTCTCTCAAATGACATCACTCAGCCTGTCTGCTTTCTGCAGCGAAAGGATGAGGGGAAAGCAATGGGGAAGAGAGTCATGACACTCATTCCCTTTCTTGCATCTGGTGCAATGGGAAGGAAGGAAATGTAGAGCGTGGAGTTGCCACTAGAGATGCTGGTGAACTTAATGCTGTGTGAAAAGCCTAATGGTGTGCTTAATGAAAAATTATGGAATAGACAAATGAAATGAATCGGGGCAACTATTAATACCATCTATTAATGCCATCACCTTACCTGTGTTCCAAAACATCTAAATTCACAGACTGTGAAAAAGACTGCAGATTGCTATTATACTTTCCCTATTGGTATATGATGGAGTTTGGATGTGTTGGCCCCTCCAAAACTCATGTGGAAATTTGATCTCCAATGTGGCAGTGTTGGAAACTGATTGAGTCATGGGGGCGGATCCCTCATCAATGGATTAATGCTCTCCCTGGGGGAAGGGGGAATAATGAGTGAGTTCTCGCTCTATTAGTTTTCGCGAGAGCTCGTTGCTTAAAAAGACCCTGGCACCCTCTCTCTCTCTCTTGCTTCCTCTCTCTTGCTTCCTCTCACCATGTGATCTGCTTGTACCTACTGGCCGCCTGCCACTTTCCGCCATGAGTAGAAGCAGCCTGAGGCCCGTGCCAGATGCAGCTGTCCCAGAATCATAAGCCAAATAAGCCTCTGTCCTTATAAATTACCCAGTCTCAGGTATTTCTGTTATAGCAACACAAAATGGACTGAAACAGTGTATGTAGTTGGTGTTATGATAAACAAATATGAGGCCTTTTAGGAAGTATCTACATAGCCCCTCCTAAAGAGAAAAGACTCAGCAGCCAGGTAAGTGATTCCATGCCATAACTGACTGATTCAGGAGTGGACATGTGACCATATTGAGTCAAATTCTTTCTCTTGAGAATCTCCACTACTAGACCAAACTTAGTCTGACAATGTCGAGAAATTGACCTACAAAATCATTTAGAATTGAGGTTAACTCTTAGCAATTGATAGCCACATAAAAACCAGCATTAGAAAGCACTAATTCTCAAGCCTGGTAGATGATCCCATCATGATCTATGAACTGATCCAGAAACTTAAGGCCCTTCTTCAGTTCTTAATGAAATTCACAGACTCATTTTTATGTATGGCTGAGATCTGCTATCTTGTAACTTACAAAGTGAGTTATTAAATATTCCTAAAAGTTGGTATTCATAAACTAAAATTAATGTGTTTAGGATTCTAAATCAGTATTCTATTGCATACTGTACAATATTGCATACATCTCACCAAGTACATTTACGGACAATTTCTGAAAT